TAGGGTGTAGAAGGGCTGAAAAGGAATTCCACAGGCTGGTTGCAAGCGAGGTCAAGTCAAACCCAAAGGTGTTTTACCGCTGTGCAAAATCGAAATTAAAAGGCGAGTAGGAGTATCAGACCTGAGGCTTGAAGATGGTAGTTACGCAGATTCTGACCAGGATAAAGCTGAGGCATTGAACAGCTTCTTTTCCTCAGTGTTCAGAAGAGAGGATACGATTAACCTTCCTGCGTTTGAGGACAGACGTTTCGACACAGCACTGACCCACATTGTGTTCACAGAAGAGGGTATTAGAAATAAACTGTCAAAGCTAAAGGTCCATAAGAGTCCCGGCCCTGACATGGTGCATTTCAGAGAGCTAAGAGAGTTGTGCAACGAGCTTGCCGAACCCCTGAAGATCCTGTTTTGCAAATGCCTGGATGAACAAAAGGTCCCCAGTGATTGGAAAGTGGCTTATGGAGTCCTAGCTTCAAGAAGGGCGATCGTCACTCCACGAACAACTATAGACCGGTGAGCCTGACCAGCATAATATGTAAAGCACTTGAGAGTATTATCAGAGACGCCGCGATGGAACATCTACTACGAAACAACCTTGTAAAGGATTGCCAACACGGTTTTATGCCATGGCGCTCCTGCTTAACATAATTGCTCAAGGTATTGGATATTTGGACCCATATTCTAGAACGGGGTGGTAATATCGACATTATATACCAAAATTTTGCCAAGGCTTTCGACAGTGTACCCACGAAAGGCTGAAAATCAAATTGGAAGGGTACGGAATTCAGGGAAATGGCCTAGCGTGGATAGAAGACTTTGTACATGACCGCAAGCAGTGTGTGGTGATTAATGGCACGAAATCATCATCTGTACCTATCACAAGCGGCGTACCACAGGGCATTGTATTGGGCCCGCTGTGGTTTGTTTGTTTCGTAAATGACATGCCTGATGTTGTACACTCCTCCATACAAATGTTTGCCGATGACGCCAAGTTATTTCGGGAAATCAAGAACCACGCGGACTGTGAAGAGCTGCAGAAGGATCTCTGTGAGCTCCAAGAATGGTCGAAGAAATGGCTGCTGAGATTCATTGTCACGAAGTGTAAGAGGATGCACCTGGGGCGTACCAACGGTAAGGAAGCGCATCATATGTCCCAACGGGATGAAGAAACTGCACTATTTGAGACTGAATGTGAAAAGGACCTAGATATGTATGTTGAACATAAGAACATAAGAAAATAAGGAGTCTGCAATAGGCCGGTTGGCCTGTGCATGGCAGCTCCTGTCGAGAGTTACTACCATTCTCCATCATCCATGAATCTATCCAGTCTCCTTTTGAAACATTCCAGCGTTTCAGCACTTACTACAAAGTTGCTAAGCTTCTTCCACTCGTCCACAACCCTATTTGTGAACCAGTTCCTTCTTATCTCCCTCCTAAACCTAAACTTATCCAACTTAAATCCGTTGCTTCGAGTCCTATCCTGCTCGGATATTACAAAGAACTTTATCTACTGTATATCCCTTTATTGATTCCTTTCACCCACTTAAATACTTCAATCATATCTCCCCGCACTCTTCGTCTTTCTAGGGAATGCAAGTTTAGTTTCTTTAACCTATCCTGATATGGAAGGTTTCTAAGTCCCGGAATCATTTTCGTCATTCTTTGCTGTACCGACTCTAGTGAATTGATATCCATTCTATAATAAGGGCACCAAAAGTGAACCGCATAATCGAGGTGCGGCCTGACTAGCGCAAGATATAGTTGCAGTAAGACCTCTGCACTCTTATTACTTACACTTCTAGATATAAAACCCCATACTCTGTTTACCTTATTTCGAACATTATCGCATTGTTTTCTAGGCCGTAGGTCCGGGCTTAAGAGTACCCCTAGGTCTCTTTCACAAGTCGACTTCTCTAGGTTGATGTTGTTAAGGCTGTATGCATTGACAGTATTTGTTCTTCCAATATTAAGTACGCTGCACTTGCTGGTGTTGAATTTCATTTGCCATTTTTCAGACCACCCCTGCAGTTTATTTAGATCCTCCTGTAATGCATTTGCATCCTGCCCTGAATTAGTCTCGGGCCATTGCGAGAAGAAGGTAAATCAGGCAAATAAATTATTGGGTCTTATAAGAAGGTCGTTTAGATATCTAGACGGTCCGTCTCTCGTAACGATCTTCAAGAGTCCTTCCCCATCTGGAGTACTGTCACCCCGTCTGGTCCCCGAGATATGCAAGGGACTGTCATTTTTTTTAAAATGTTCAAAGGAGGGCCACCAGACTGGTGCCTGCCCTTCGGCACCTCAGCTACCCTGAGAGATTGGAGCGCCTGAACTTGCCGAGCTTATACTACAGACGGGCAAGGGGGAGACCTAAGTGAGGTGTATAAGCATCTAAAGGGGCACTACTCAATCGAGTGTCCTTACTTGGAGCTGGCGGACGCTCGCCCCACAAGGGGTCACAGCTCAAGATTGAAGAAGCCTCAAGTCCAGAAAGCTGCGAGGGCAAACTTTTTCGGAGTGACAGTTGTGAACTCTTGGAACAATCTACCAGAAAGTGTTGTGACGGCACCGAGTGTGAGCTCTTTCAAATCAAGACTTGACCAACACTGGAACGGGTTCAGGGACATTCAGGAGCCGGGCATGCCCAGGACTTGCCAACAGTGCGTAACAGAGACGTGACCGATCGCCCAAGCGGCTAACGAGCCGATCAGTGGCGAAGAGGATAAAGTAAAAGTAAATGTATCTGTACATACTGAACCAATGCATTGTTGGTCAAGTCTTGTCTTGAAAGAGCTCACACTCGGTTCTGTCACATTTTCTGGCAGGTAGTTCAAATAGTTTACAATTCTGAGTACAGTAATTGAGCGAAAACTCGGCTAATTTTCTGTGTCGGTACATATAGCTCTATCTGCCGAGTGTGAGTCATGACGGATGTTGTGATGTTGTGTACGAAGTTTTCCGTTTCTTATGAATCAAACAGAAATAACTACGAACAAGCACAATTTACGGGAGCTGGTGGAAATAGTGTATCTATGACTTAAACAACGGGTTCTTTGACTTCTAATTTGTTGAATAAATTAACATGAATAAAGGTATCTAGGGCAAATTATTGCACCATTGTTTACAAAGTTTCTGTCGGCCCAGCCACCGTCAAATATTAAACAAGAAGGAAAACTTTGTGATTTTTTTTCTCGATTAAGACTGTCTCACGAATGAAAGAAAACGAATGGCGTTTACATGATAGAAAATGCAATTTAAAACCATAAAAGATTCACACGTTAAGATAAATTTGTCATGGTTGGGATTTTCGTTATAAAATAAGAAAATAAATGACAAAAGAAATCACTAATTTTGAACTTCATATGCTTGTGTTCTCGAGTATCTCCTGAATAAGGTTTGCCAAACCTTTACCTGTTGTTTCTATTGCGACTAGAAAGCCAATAAAATGCCAGGAAATAAAATTGAAAGCAAATCCAGATTTAATTATATTACTGTACAAGACAACGGTAATAATGCTTTGTTAGGTGCAAATTTTTTTTATAGGACGTATAACACGTATAGCAAAAATTCTTAACTTTATTCCTGAAAGTCTCAGGAGGTCCATTGATGGGCTTTGGGCCTTCGCCTAGTCTGCCTATACTTCGGATCGGCCCTGGCTTTTGATAAAGTAAATTACAATAAACTTATAGACCTTGTGTTCCTTAATTGTGCCTGATAGAATGTATAACTTTAGAATAAATGACCCCGTGTGAATAAAGCATTTAAAAGGTTTCTTTCATTTTCCTTTTAAATGACTAAACTGTCTGCCACAGTGTTTAGTGTTTGTATATTATTGAATGTGACACTGTCAGAGACTTCAGGCCACCTGACTTATTGTATCTTGAACTATGTAATTACTACATTGAATCAGGGGTGCTTGAGGACATTCTTGCTGTTTATCCCAAATTTGCTAGCCCACACTCATTAGTCTTCAATTAGAATATGACTCCAATGTATGTGACCCACTGACCTATATATACTGCTAATGAATATGATGTATTTCCTTCTTTGTATACGAACCTCTGTCCTGCATGGCAGTGAACAGTGGCATTACCCACATGAATCTGACCTATATATAGTGTCAATGAATATGATGCATTCTTTGTGTACGAACCTCTGTCCTGCATGGCAGTGAACAGTGACATTACCCACATGAATCTGACCTCAATACATTTATAGCTGTTAAAGAATATGATGTATTTCTTTGTGTATAAACCTCTGTCCTGCGTGGCAGTGAGAAGTGATAACACCCTGTGTCAAGACCTGACCGAATTACTCAGAATAGGCAAACTGCGGTCGTGTCCAAATGCATGTAATCGACTGATATTTGGTGTCATAAAGTCACAAAAAATTGGTAAACTTAATTTAATGAGTTGTGTTAGGTTAGGTTAGGTTAGATACATGCACTCGATCTATTAACTCGGATTAAATTAAGTTTACCAATTTTTTGTGACTTCGTGACACCAAATACCAGTCGAGAAGTGATTGGTAGTCCGATTTATTCTTTTAAGACCATCATTTGACTTCATTGCGGCTACATTTGGGTACATTTGCGTAATTACTCGCTCCCTCGGTACATGCACGCGATCTATTAACTCAGATTAAATTACGTTTTCCATTTTTTTTTTACTTTGTGACACCAAATATTAGTCGAGAAGTGATTGGCAGTCCGATTTATTCACGTAGGACCATTATTTGACTTAATTGCGGCTACATTTGGGTAATTAGTCAGACCCGGCAAACTGTACTACAAGCTTTGCCAATAAATTTGTTAAACTAAGTATACCTGCATTGTCTATATGTACACGCTGAACCAATGTGGACCTGTATGCCGATTTTATTGAATATCTAACTATAATAAATATTAAAGCCATGACGTGTTAACTTAACGCCATCTATTAACATAATTTACACAGGCTGTACCATACACACTGCCACATGTCGCTATAAACGTAGATTCCTCTTTTGTTTACATGCTGACGTCCATCCTCTCCTTATTATTCCCAGTGTTACTCAGATTCACGTGAGTCTGTGACATCGGGGGGGAGTTACTGCTTCTCATATCATTTGCAGCTCTTTGGATTCCTGTTGACAAGTATTTCTTGGTAAGGACTGAATAATATACAGGCATTTATGGCAAAGATAAACGTTGTAAGGTATATTGTTGTAGGTTTAAAGGCTTCTTTATACACGGTAAACTTAATATGGAGGTCAGTTTTACCAGCTGGAAGTGGAGGATTGTTTCATAGTACTGTGTAGTATACTACTGTAATTTTAATACTGCTTCGAAAGGATTACATAAAAAGTGTGTTTTTTTTATTTGTTAGCGTATGGATTGATATTTGGTAGCAAGTGTTACGTCCGTTACATAATTGTATAGTTGTGCGTATTAGTCATGATGACATTTGAAATTTTTCTATAAAAGTAAATGCTATCTTAACTCATGAAAAATCCCCCAAATTGGTAAGTGGTAAAATTTTAATTTCGGCCATCCCTGTATTTAGATATCAAGCATAACCAACCTAACCTAACAGTCACAGAACCCAGAAACTATATCTAACCTAACTGAGGGGGCTTCACCCGCCCCTTTCTGGTGGGGGTTAAATTCCCTTATGACCGTAACTAAAATAATACCTGGAAAATATTTAGTTGCCAAGCACGGAAATGAGGAGTTATAGGGATATGACACCCCCCTCAGTTACCACCAACAATACTTGTTGCACAAAGTGGGCAGGGCTTTGAAATACGACTATATAGGTGTAGGCAAATTGTGGGGTAAAAAAAAAAAGGATGAAATGAAACCTAACAAAACCACCTAACCAGAGAAGCCAGAAGGACCTGCCCTAACCTCCTAGCCAAGAGGGGCAAAGCCTTTTGAACTCCAGATGTGTAAAAGACTTACCTTAATTAACAGATGCAGGAGGATAAAGTGATGCCACTTGAATGAGGAAGTGGTGGAGTATTGTGTTAAAACACTGTAAACCCACAATTACGAGATATCTTCCTCTTGGGGAGTGTCTGTCTCTTACTGCAATACCAAGTATGCTGCTGTTCACAATAATGACAGTTGAATCACACCGTAGACATAACTGAAAAAGTGAGAACACCATGAGCCCTTAAAAGTATAATGGTTACCCCTCGTGTAATGAGGATAGCCGACCCAAGGGCCACCTATGCGTGAATTTGTTTAAGGTGTAGAAGCTCTCTTCACCACAACAACTGCACCCTGAGTTAATGAGCTGCAAGGAATAGTCCGGACAGCTCGCCAACTGCACTGGCTTATCATTAGGGTACCCCAAATACGATCCGCATATCGATTTACATTCAGGCCCCCAATTACTGCTGGGTAGACAGAGAGAAATTGTGTAATGAAATTTGCTCATAGCTTTTACCCTGCCGGGGATCGAACCCAGGTTTACTCACTTACAAGGCGAGCAGGCTGACTATTACACCACAGGTCGCCCTTAAGATATCATCAGCTACAGCTTCGTTTTCAGAAAAGTGCTGAATTATGTGCCAATCTGCCAAGCAGTAACCATCACAAACAAATGCCATCTTGCAACTCCACATTTCAATTCCAGAGCTTGCACATGCTCACAAGTCTTCTGCTGATTGTCTCACAAGTATCATGTGACATCCAAACTTACACTAATTGGCTGAGTAATAAATAAGCAATAGATTTCCCTGTGAATATGTACTAATTTTGGTAATGTATGAAAACACCACAACCACCAGTTGTTTGATTTCGTTAATTTTTTCCCACAGATGTTCTTATCATTACAGTAAGAATTTTAAAAGAGGCAGTATTAATTAATACCTAATGGGACCTGACCTAACCAACCGAAGAATCCTACCTAACCTTACCTAACTTCTGGACCCCTCTCCATATTAATCAGAAAGTACTTATTTTGATATCTGGTACCAATGAAAACAACTTTGTTGAAACGTCATGGTGTAATTTTACATTTTGTGAACATGGGGATATACTCCACCAAGCAGGTTGGTTGTAAACAAACAGAACAGACGACAACACGGCAGATTTCTTTAGGATTACTGTATTTACGGTAAATACAGTAATTAATTTCTTCACATACAAAGCATGTAGACAATTTTAGTGTAATATAATCACTTTTTCACCATGTTTTACACCGCAATTTCCCTCATCCTTTATACCCTCCCCACTACAGGTGATTTATGATCGTAGATACAGAAAAACTAAAAAAATAAATAAAAAAATACTGTACTTATAATTAAAATAAAAAGTTGTTGCCTTTTAAAATACCTGTACTTACTATAACGATAAGAACTTCTGTAGAAAAAATGAACAAAATCAAACAACTCCCTCTGGTGGTAATGATTTCCTCAAATTACCATCTTTTAAAATGAAATAGAAAAATCTAAACAACTTGAAAACTATAAACTCCCAATGGAAACACTATGCAGGTAGTAATATTTTTTTCTTTATCACCCTATATAAGAATCAATAGAGTTCCAAGCTTGGCAACTTCAAAATAATAACCACAATTTTTTTTTTTTTTAATGTCTTTACCATTTTTTCTGTCCTAAACACTTCTATACCTGTGCTCTAGGACACCAAATCTCTATTGTTTCTGTCTGGACTGTTTTATTCCATTCATGGAAACATTAAAAGAAGCTTACCAAATACGGTGGCATTATATTGTACTTTATTTATGTAGTTGCTCCATGGATGTAACATTGCTGCTATCTGTCCCACAGGCTGTGTGGCTGGAATTTAGGCCCTAGATTACCATGGTGGACAGTTGCTACATGGCAGTTGTGTGTAGTTTGACATGGAAAAAAACATTTGTTATGCAATTTTAAAGTTAAAAAACAGAGAACCTAACCTAACTATTATCACCATAATCAGCATCAAACATTGTACTGGTATCCCTCATTTAATGGTGGGGGTTGCAGTCCTGTGAAACTTAATGTTAAGCAAAATTATATCTAAACAAGGGATAATAACAAAACATGGAGGTCAAACAAGTTCAAATGGCAGGGCAGTAAACACCAATTACAGTACAGTACAGTACACTGTACAGCTCCTCCCCGACTTACGACCTACTCGATTTACGTCTACTTGCACTTACGACCTGCCTCAGTCGTACCAAAATTTGGTCAAATTATGTATTTTCGAGTCCCAAAGTCAGTACGCAGACAAAAATTTCATCTGTAATTCACTTTAAAATGGCTGGCAAACTTAAAAGGGAGTGTTTTGTGGTGCTGAGAAGAAAAAAAGAGACCCCCATTTTATATTTTCTATGTATTATTTAAGCATTTCCGACTTACGACCTTTTCTACTTACGACTTGGATGTCGGTCCCTAACCCCGTCGTAAGTTGGGAGTAGCTGTAATACCTAATATTAAATGGGTTTGTTATTAAATGGTTTTGATGTTAAACGATTGATTAAATGTATTGGCACCATAAGGTTGAGGCAAATTCGAACAAATTTATTTATTTATTTTATTTTATTTTTTTTTTTTCGGGGATTAGCCCACCTGGGCACAGGTCAACGACCCACAACGGGGCAAAAAATAAGAGTAGAAGGAAATAAAAAATAAAAAGGAAAAGGTTATACTACTGCATTAATCTACACCGCGAAGATGCCGGAAAACCAGCTTTTTAAAGTGGGACATTGTATGATTATGGAAACACAGAAGGAGGCAGAGCATTCCACAGTTTGGCTGTGTGAGGAAAGAAGGAGGTACTATAATGGGTTATTCTAGTGTAACTGACATCCACAGAGAAATGGCGGGCAAGACGTGTGTTACGAGCCCACGGCCTTACCGGCGGTACACGGGATGCAAGATCCACCGAACATTGCCCGTTGATGAAAAAAATGCCAAGTTAAACAATAAAACTAATACGTAGTACAGGCATCCCATTCCTGAAAATCTTTCTGTAATACGAAACCATTTTTCCCATTAAATTCAGTTATATAAGTTGAAATGCATTCCTATGTAAATTTTTTGAGGCCCAGAAACGTAACGCAAGAACATATAGGTATGAAATTAGACGCTTTTAACCACATACAATGAGTCATTCGTGATGTAACATGATGATAATTTAGCTAAACGCTCAAATTTTACTTAACAGAAACAATGTTGAGTGCTGCAGGTGGTGGTGAGGTGAAGTGGTGCAATTGTAGTTGCTGGGAGTTACCTCCTTAAAACATCAAGTTTATAGTCCAACGCTATTCCTTAATGGAATCTTTTATCCCCACTGCTTTCGTTTGAACTACATGGCATTTTTCCCTTCATCTTGAATAAGGGTACACAGTAACACAGGTGCATAATTGAATACAAACTGGGAAAAAAATTGTAACTGAGCAGTGCCATTATTATGTTGGTTGCTGGCAACTGGGGAAGTGAGTGGCCTTCCAAATGTCTTGTGACTACCACAGACAATCCACAGTAAATAAAATGTTAAAATTGTTTGGAAAAAATTGGATTAAGAATTGTGATTTTTACTTAACGGGTAATTTACCAAAATTCCGTAAGGGCGAAATTCCATAACCAGGGATTCCGTAACGCTGGGGACACCTTATCATAGAATAAAATAGGTTATATTTATGTAAAAGAAAATAAATCTTTTTACACTCAAACCATCCTCTGGGTGATGTGACACAGTTCAGCCAGGCAGTTACCCAACTGATTCTGAAATGTCATGCTGGTTAGGTTAGGCTATGATGTTACATTGGGTAAAGGAGTGATGGAGCATGGCTTTGCTCGAGATGTAGTTAGGCCTACAGCCCACTGCCTCCATAAATACTGTACAGGTAAATCCCAATAACTGATGTACTTACTGTAATGTGGACTGAAAAGTCAACATATAGTGAATCAGCAGTTTTTTAGCAATTAATCCCATAAGAATATAACTAATTAGGGAGCAACCACCCACCCAAAAAACTCCCATCCATTCTTTATATATTTTTTGTTCAGACTGTCAAGTGCCCCCAAAAAAAAAATAGAAAGCAAGCATAACAATTAATTAAAGAAATTGTGTATAAATTATGACTGTTATTCACCAGTGCTGAACCGTTGCGTTCACAATGAGTCGTCATTCTTCCCTTCAGCCAGTCCCTTTGACTGAAGGGCTGGCTGATGCTTTACCTACTGTTTCTGCCATTAAGAATTTTAAAAGATATCCCCACACATTTTGAGAACAATTGCAGGCTAGCGGAAAATTTTTAGATACAGCATGCCTGCCAATACATGCACTTTGTTGATATCCCATGCCTGTAAACCTGTGCTATATGGTTACTGGAGAAATGCAGCCATCTGCGGACATAATAAATGGCTTCTCTCATAATAGTGCAGGAACCATAGTGGAAAAAGTACCCTGTTTAGTGATTCCATTCACATTAGTGTATACGTATACTGTACCTAAATCCTATACCTGTACAGTATAGGTACGTAGAGGGGTCCTATGGGGAGTAGAAATAGCTGGTTTTCATTGTTAAGTTGTGCATTACCGATTTATGAGCCTTTTTTACTATTTCCATTGTTTACGCGATTCACGATATTTTCAAAATCACTATAATTCAGCTACAGGCACTAATACTATATGCTCTGTGTGTAGTGTTATGTGGTATAAAATTGACAGGAATATCATACACTTCTGCATGCAGGTAAAACCAGAAATACTCATGTTTTAAAAACAGATTATATTAACTAATATTAATAACCGAATCTAATCTACCCCCCCTACACTCATACCCACCCACCCATACCCACCCACCCTCACCCACCCTACCCACCCACCCACACCCACCCACACCACCCACCCACCCACCCATACCCACCCACCCACAAGTAGCATTAGGTTGGTTAATCTTTAAGTGAAATAAGTTGGGTACATAATCTTCAGGTACTGTAATTAGTTGCAACCGTGACTTAGTGCTGACAGTTTCATTGACTATCATGATCTTATTTGGCCATGACCCAATAAGAGATGGAAATGTCCTTTTTTTTTCTTACGTAGATATTGAAGGATGCCTGCTTGGCTAAATTTACTTAATCACACTTGTTTAAGAAAATAATTGATATTGTTTATTTCCCAACAGTTTGGTACAGTGTTGTCTCGAGAACAAAGAATTTGACGTATAGTTAACCAGATACTGTACATCCAAAGATGTCAGAGAAGCCACCTCCATACAACCCATATGTTGGACCTACACCAGGGCCTCCAAGTACAGTATACAGTGTTTCTTTCTGTATAACATTGTATGTTGATAGTTAAAAACCATTAAATGACTGAAGCTACAGTATCTTATAACACCAGCCCAATTACAAATTCCATAAACATTTGTGTGCTGTTACAGTACACTTAAAAAATAATGCAATTATATTCAGTTTTTGTTGAAAGATATAAAGTGCATAGGTAATTTCCTCAAGCAAAGGAAATTGACTTGGAATAAAAGATACCAGAGGAGCCGTAGCTTTCCTGGAAAATACATTGATGAGTTACACACAACTGTAAATAGACATCCTGTCACCAGAGAACAACTTTTATCTCCCCTTTTGGGCTGATGGGTGTGGTAGGGAGGAAATGGTAGTTGGAGAATTAGAACTTTAATCTTTTTTGAGTTTGTAGGTCGATAAACTCAGTTACTCTGATTTAAATTACCCAATCAAGTTTAAACTGGCTAATGGACTCCCTGAAAGGTTACCTACATAGAGAGAACATGGTAAACTCCTTAAGAAAATGATGCAGATCCTCTGAAGCAGAAACCCAACCAGCGTCCAAGATGGAATGTCATGTAATTTGATTTCATATCAGCAATGTTTTATGGCCAGTTTCCCAGCTTGCCTGGGTTAACAATGATTACCTGATGGCATGGTGTCTTGGTTACCATCAAGCAAATTTGGAGCAAGTTTCACCTAGATGTCCTTCCTATTGCCATCCCATTTTTAGATAATGGGAACTCGGCATTATATGTAAGAATTCTAAGTGTCGTCTTAGATACAAAACAGACCAAATGTACATTGTTTCGTTTATATGTTTCAACAAAAAATTAACTATTGGAACAATGGTGGACTACTTTGGGTAGCCCTAGAATGCTAAACAATGGCCGAATTCCTCCACTGTGTCCCCACCCTAATGCTAATTATGCATTGCCACCACATTCATTTGATCTCTTGGGTTTACAGTGAGTAAAACTCAATAAAATGAATGGAAAATACCCAGCAAATGATATTTGTGCCTCTGGCATTATGAGGTTGGTGAAAGAGTGTTTGGCCTACCTGCCAACTTCAGTCAGTGTGATCCAAACAGAGAATGCAGCTTTACATATATCGCAAGTTAATAACCATTGATCTTAACTGGTACAAGGATGTGTACTAACAGAAGAAAGCTATCCAGCTGCCTTTGGACCAATATTTTAATTGTCCATTCTTAGATGAAGAAGTAGGCAATCCTGCAGCGTAGAGTCAATAACTCCACCACCCCAGCTGGCCTCTACTCCTCAGTTTCCTTAACCAACTTAGGTAAATGTTAGACTACCGTATATTTTTATATCTAAACATTCATTTTAACTTTTAATAGGCTACTTTAAGTATTTAATTAATATTTTTGTGAAATTTTTTTGACCGAAATACCTATTTACAGTATATCATTAAGTCTATGGTAAGCTTGTATTCACTATAAAGTACTACATTGTTTCATGTAACGTCACACTTTTCAAAAACGCATGTCCAACATATAGCGAGGTTCTGTAGTTTGCTTCAAGCTTGTACAATTCCAACTTAGGGAGCTTTAGCATAATTTCTTTTAAACACTACTTATTGGTTTTATATATTTTCCAGTGGGTCCACCTCCTCCATATCAGCAGATGCCACCAGCTCCTCCCCCAGCAGGGTTTTTTCCTACTCATCCTGGAAGCTCTAGCACGACAATAATCACTACTCAGCAGCCTTCCTATGGTGCTGTTCCTGTTGTTGTCAACCCAGTTCGAGCCACCGATGTGATTGTTATTGGAGGATGTCCTGCATGCAGGGTATGTGTATCCATTTCTGACATGCTGAGTGTTTAGATTCTCTGTACAGTAGTATTGTCAATAAAAGCCATGCAGATTACGTGGAACATTTACTTGTCTCAGGCCTATGACTTGAAATTTACTTGCCCTGGCAAATTTTTTGAGGAAATTTGCTTGCCCCTGATTTTTATGAAAAAAAAAAAACTTCGTTGAACATTTAAAATATTCAAATTTATTGTTGTATTAACTCACAGACCACTTGTCTGCCTAAATGGTGTCAGTGGCAGTAACCCTTGTTAAGTGATGTTTTAACTCCTGTCGCCTCGCCTCACTTCACACCTGCACGGTGTGGGGAGGCAGAGGCAGCCTACCCTATCCCACCTACCACCCCTCCCCCCTTTAATCTGGTGTCAGTAGTGTAGCACTTGTCATGTAAGGTCACTTGTGTTACTTCACATCTACAGCCTCTCAGCTTGGTTGTTCCTTTGAAATTTTGACAAGTTAACTGACTGACAAGAGGCAGGTTGACAATTTAATGTCAAGGTAAATTACCTGCACCTGACATGAGTCATTAATCCTGGTCCTACACACCGATAACCTCCCTGGTTATACATGTACGGTGAGGTGGGGTCACGCAGTGCTTAAAATTCTCATCTGGGCACAATTCAAAACATTAGCTTATTCGCCAGGAAAGTGCCAGGCACATGGACATGAGAAATCACTTGCCCGGCCTCGTAGTCCAGACATGCCGGTCACTGTTGATCTGCACAGCCTGTGTTAATGTATTTGACTTCCATTGTTTGTTGTATTCTCCCACTCTTTGACTTCTTAAATTGTTTCTCTATCTTGAAAGCAATTTATATGTATATATTCTAGTTTGAAAAACAACTTGAACGTGTATTGTTTTTCATGGGGAAAATCTAAATGGATCATGAAATCACATTTTATAACTGAGCAAAGGATCAGGTGACGTGGGTATCCTCATTTCCTTTTGGGCTTTTGATGTGAGCTAGGGTTGCCAAGCGTCCTGTATACAGCATATAGGATTGCCCCTTATTTCATTGCCTTGTCCCGTTGTCCGTATATGCGTGGTCCTGTTTTTGAGTCAAACATCTAAAATATGTAACTATAAAAATTATTATAATTTTTTTTCTTCATATTACTTACAAAACAATGTGATATTGTATTCATCTATATCAAGTTGTGGCTGCAGTGGTGAAGTTTGTGTATTGTAAGTTTGCATTTTAGGAGATACTGACCATGAACCAAAGTGTATAATTACTGTAGACCTGACTGATACATACACTCATGACTACTTATGCACTATGATTGGTGCTTAAAAAAAGGGGGGGGTACTAAAATTCATTTTGTTTACATAGCAAATAAATTTACTGTAATCAATACTGTATCTTCATGGCAGGGAATTTTGAAACACATCTGAGCATTGGTACTTTATATGAGAAATGGTGTGTTCCCATCTAAGACCAGTGTCAGATTGCTGTCTCTTGGGGCATTGTATTCCCATCTAAGACCAGTGCCAGACTGCTGTCTCCAGGGGCATAGAAGCCAGCTATTGTCACACATCTTTTATTTTAGAGGTCAGACAGCTTGGCCTTTGACCCTACTGTGAGTGAGGAGTTTTTGAGTACAGTTAACCCTCACTTTACGCGGTTAATGTAACCCGGAGGGTCCCGCGTAAAGTGAATAACATAACATATGGGATTAATTGAAATGGAGTCCGGGCCGATCCCCAAACTCCACTTTTTGACGACACACAACTATGTTGTAGTAAAAATTTTATCTTAACTTTATGATGGTATGAAAAAACAAGTAATATAGAAGAGGTTAGGTTAGGAAAGATAAAGGTTAACATAGGAAAAATAAAGGTTAGGTTAGAAAACTAAAAATTAGGTGTAACACTTACGGTAGTAGAAGAGATGGGTCGGCATACGGGGATGGAGGCTGGTTCCGAGGCAGAGGGCAGATTACTGGCCCTCAGGTGAATCACCATTACTAGGTGAATCACCATCACTGTCACTTACAGTTGTCAGGGCTTCCCTGGGGGTGGTGGTCCGGCGGAAGCCATTTTACGGAACAATGGATGCGCGTTTACACGGAGTGGCCTTGAGGGATGAAACTGCCGCGGCTAGGTCAAGCGTCGTCTTTCCTCCCTCCCTCCCTCCCCCGGGTGGACACGTCATAATACTTTAAGCCAATTACAGCTAGCAGCAGAGGGGGGTAGGGATGCATGGCCAATCACAGGTCTGATACGTCATATGACGTCAGTGATAACGCAACAAAGACACACACTGCGCAACCTTACCGCGCCGCTTGCCCAAGCGGAGGGAGGAGGAGGGAGAGGCAGGCAGGCGGGTGGGGCGAATCTAAAAATAGCGTCGTGCCGGACACTCTCCGCGTAATGGGGTTCACGTACCGCGTAATGTGAGCACGTGAGGTTCTGGCAAGGCACCGTGTTAACGTGGAAACGCGGAATGCGGGACCGCGTAAAGTGAGGGTTAACTGTAGTTTATTAGAGTGTTTGTTATTGATGCTACAACATCCTGACCAAGAATGTTGGAGAAGTTAGTCCAGACCCATGTGTATCTTTAAAACAAATGCAATGATAGTTCTCGATCTTTACTTTAAACTTTTGTTTATATATTATTATTCATTCTCTGAATAGAAATTAAGAATTATCTTTTTATCTTCTCTGCCTTCAAAAGAAAAGTGTTCCGATTTTTTTTAATCGAGAATCTGGCATCCCTATTGTAGTGTCTGTTTTTGTAGCTGAGCAAGACACTTGTGGAAGTGCAAATTTCCATCCTTCTCCTTTAGGGGAACTACCATACCAAGTGACTCCTTTAAAAGAAACAATTTTAAATTAATTTTGTGAAATTCAGTTTTAGCCAGCAAGTTAGGTCCGAAAGAGCCTGGAGTTTTACCCCTTTGAATTTTTTTGTTTTGCATAAATTACCTTTATTTTACTGTCTTAAAACAGGATTTCAGAACAATCATCTATGACTGATCCTGGACTTGGCAACTAGGGTACTTTTACTCCTTCCAATGGGTAACAGTGAACTTGGCTACAAAGTGTGAAACTTGGAATGACCATTTGTGGGTGAGCCTGAAATAACAGGCATGGCATACACAGCTAGTGTGACATCATGATCTTAAGTGGTGACTTTTTAAGGGACATAATTGCTGCAAGGAGGCATAACTATTGATTTGATTAGTACCAACCACTAGTGCTGGGGGATTGCTTGCATTTTCCAATATGTAGTCTTCATGGGTAAAATACACAAATTGTCTAGTCCTGTCTTGGTTCTCAAAATAAAATTTTATGATCAATCTGTCAAATATAATATTTTGGTTATAGCCATAAACAGATTGTAGCAATGTGTCATTTGCAAAGTGAGCACAGGGTATTACTTTTCTATGCACAATTTTTATTTCATTTGCGGTTTTCTTTTCTTTTTCAGGTTGGTGTACTGAATGAGGACTTTACTCTCGCAGGCTTATGTTGTGCATTTTGGTTCTTCCCAATTGGAATTCTCTGCTGTTTGGCCATGAGGGAACGCCGCTGCAGCAATTGTGGAGCTTGTTTCACATAGGTTTGAGAAACATTTCGGGTGTATTCATGAACTAGGTAAAGAATTACTTGAATTGAGGTTGGATATAATTAGAGAATTTCTTGCCAATGTGCTCATTATTTTTCATAACTGCTTATAGAGAGGTTTTATGAGTGAAGTTATTCTTACTACAATAGTAGTCTTATGGAGAAAATTATGAAGAGAAGAATATGGCAGGGTGTCAATGTCTTAATTAGTTTAAACTAGTTGACTTTAAGGAAGTACTGTAATAGTATCCATTCTCATGTTTATGAACCAGAACTGGGCAAGCTTTCTTAGTTTATTACCATGTCTTGGGTATATTGTAGTAATCATCATAATCATGTTTGAATTAATTTAAAGTAAATATCTAATCATAGAGGAAATTTTGAAAGATGTTGAATGTAATTCTATATTAATAGCACTATGTTGATGGGCCCCTCAGGTCTTGGAGAGGTACTGCCATAGATCAGTTTATGACTGAGGGTACCGAGTTGTACCATGTCTTGTAATATGCATAAACTGTGCCTAATAGGAATTTGAGCTTCCTTCTTGTTGCTTTTGAGGTTGTCAATAATAATAATAATAATAATAATAAAATAATAATATTAAAAGGATAAACTTGATTGAAGGTTATTTTTCTTTCTGTTTCAAATGTCACTTACATTTGTAAGGAAGATAATTAACAGCTGCATCCTTTGTTGTTAATAAAGGTTGTAAAATGTTGCACAATTTTTACAATAATTATGGTGGCAGACAATTAGACTGCTATGTATACTCAACTCTCTTAAAGCTCTTTGATTTCTTGGGAAATGCTTTCTCATGTTTTAGTTTTAATTATTAGCAATATTACTTGCATATAGTGATCTTTTTATATAGTTTGCATTTATGATCTGTATTTTTGTTAATTTGATGGAGGAATTGATTAGCACTGTACTGTGTCAAGGCATTCTTTTTACTATTTTCACTTAATAGGTACAGTAGCCGAGCTATTTGATGGGCATATTAAATTCTGAATAATTCTTGGTTAATAGTGTAGCATATCTTAAGGTAGCTCAGGTGGAGAGGAAGAATTAAATTGGTTGTATAATTAGGTACAGATCATGAATTTACAAAATAATAACTATACAATTTTTTGGTTGTATGAAGTGACTGGCTCCTTGGGAATGACTCGGGCTCTCAGCACAAGAGTTTGGGTATAGTACTCAGCTGTCAAATCACTATTTGTCTACTGAAATGTTTTCATGACTTTTGGTAGCTGTAAAAAATTAGAATATTATTGATGTTTCTGAACAGAATATGTTCAGTTACGTACTTATGTTAAAAATTGGATGTAGAACGGTGCTTCTTTTTATGCTAGTTACCAGAGTTGACATAAATATTTAACAGGGGAGGCTAAATGAGATGATGAATTTTCTTGAATGTTAATGATCCGCTGCTTGAAATAGTTTCCTGTAACATCTCCTATTAGCGGGCCTTCAGTTTAGTGGATACCTCTACGTGGTGGATGGATTTTGATGTTATTGTTGTCCAGCATTAAAAATAACTGATTCAGTGATTAGTGTTTTTCATGGAATTTATATGGTTTCATTAACTTGATGTGCCTGATCTTATTTTCTTTATAAACCAGTTGACTGTTTTGAGATTTTAATTTTGTAGCAAACAAATAACAGGAAATGGTAAAGATTAAAACATTAATGATATCGATGTGACCTTTAGGCCAACCTGTGCATGACAAGTTTGGGATGTTCTGATGGTACAGTACTGTATTTATGTGGTTGTTAAAAAATATTTAAGCATTTGGAGAATGTTATCAGTAAGGATTGTATCACAGTGGTACTTTTTTTTAGCCTTGATATCAGAATCAGTTGTTTGTTCTTGAACTTTACAAGCTTCCATTTGTTTGCTTCTTATACACTACATTTTGTCAATCATTAGAGGAATCATAACTCAGCATTTTACTTGCTGTTAAGGTTGTTTTATCTTATTCATCTTTGCTCCCTTTTCCAAGTGAATTTTGTACTTTTGAAGCATTAGTGTATTTTTATCCACTTATGTCTTCAATGATTATTCTTTACATTATTTTCTATGCACATTTTATAAAGTTGCTACTGCAGCTGTTTTCCCGTTATTGTATAAAAATATAGTTTATAATACGGCCCTCGGTGTTTTCATCTGACTCTTTACTATTGCATAAACTAAACTGTTAAGATAGATTGCATATAAAATCTGCTCAGTTTTAGTCAAGTGCTTAAATAACTGATTTTCACTAAAAGAAAAGTTAATCCTGGAGCTGATTGTTAAGAACCTTAAGAGAATCTATATATTTGGATGAAGAATTATTCATTCATTCTTTATATATTAATGTATATTTTTTTATTCAATGGCTGGGGGGTTGGGATCTAGACTTAATGAAACTTATGGTTTATTTTGAAGATCTTATTAAGACATGGTTTAATGCTGTCTGGAGGAACTTTTTTTTTCACAGTGAAACCGATGAAGAGGGTCTTTATGTAAATCTTAAACTTGAGAAAGACAATTGCCACCTGAATTAGTTTTTAAACACATATTATGCACTGTGATTTATGATTATTTTTGTACATATGCTTCATTATTGTGTTTGACTTAAGCAACTCCCAGATATGTATGAATTCTGGTAACTTGATCTTCATTCACAAGTTTTGACCAATCATCTATGAAGAGAATTTCTGATTTATGAACTGAAGGATAGATTACTGGTGGCTAGCAATCAAGGAAAGTATTATGGTTTAGCATTATGTAATCCATTTTCTTATTTCTCCTAGTATGTATCAGGTAGCCTTATGTTGCTGTATAGGTTGAGATGTTCAATGGCAAGTATTCACATACTTAAACAAATATCTGTACACATTCCTTCATGCTTTTTTTTCTTTTGTGTATGTGGAACTACTGTACAGTACAGTATACTTCCTGCATGAATGGTGTCTTTTTTGGGTTGAAAAATCAGTCTTGAGGGGGGTCTTCAGTTTCAAAATATATAAACTGTATCTGAATATGATCTCCATTCAAGTACTGTACATGTTGAATCACTTTTTATTTGTATATTTTTTATATTTGGAAAACCACTGCAGCTTCTCTGGCTTATCTTCCTTATTGCAACTTAATGAAGCATTAGTTTTGTCACCATAATAAAAATTTCATGGACAAAATTATATGACAACTGTATGGATTTAGCATCGGATATACTGTACTACAATGGGGGTTTTCCAGGTACATTATGTATTGGGATATATATATATATATATATATATATATATATATATATATATATATGCATAAAACATTGACATACATTATAAACATGCTTTTTTTTTTATGTACAGTCTCCCAAAAAAGGTATCTTTATTTTTTTTCTTTATCATTTAAACCGAGGATGAAATGCATTGATATATTCAACTATGCATCACCATATGTTGGTATGATCGCTGCCTATATTGGTAATAACTGGAGTTAAGGTTGGAGGGGGGAGTAAAAATTTAATTGCTGGTCACTTTGAAATTTTGGCAGTACTTTGCATGAAAGTGTTACCAGTACCTGTGGTCAACTGTGCCAACAGTTCTGAAACTAGTGGACTAACAATGCCTACAAAACCACAAGCAACATTGGCTCCATGGGTAACTATACTTTTTTGTGGACTGTAATTAAGGATAAAATTCATGGGATGCTTAGCACATTTAAGAGTTGTAGTTTTGTGTGCCTCAAGTAATGCTCTCACTTTAATAGAGGGGTTTTCACTGTGAAATCAATATATTTTCAATTAGAACAAAGGACGTTTTGAAGCACAGATGGTGGACAATTAACTACTTGTTAATGGGAATCAAAATTAATGTCACCAAATATACGAGTTTCGTACTGCAACTTATATTTACTCTGTAAAACAATTATTAGATGTACACGTAGTCAATATATTGTTTGATATTGTATTGTGATATTTTATGAAATAAAATTATTTTGTAAGTAATGCTTCTTGTCTTTTGTTTTTATCAGTATTAGATATATTAAAGGAAATATTTTGATACATTATCATTCTTTAGCTCTTTAAAGGCAGTGATTAAGGTGGTACACATTATTTTCTTAACCCCTACACTATGGGGATGCCACTTTTATTATTTTATTTGGATAATGTCAGATGATTTTCTTCAGTTCAGAGGTGACCCCATACAAAAGGGGTTAATTATATTAGACCCCTTGAAACTCAATTTCAACACAGTCATGTGGTTCACCACTTAATTTCCCACAATGAAAATAGTATCTAAAATAATTATATTCCTCTTAAATTTACTTTTAACATCCCTTAATCATTTCAAAGACTTTTGTATTATCTGTACCCAAAACTAATAATTTATTCTTTCAATCCTGATTAGCACTAGGCATATTAGTACAGTACTGTATTATATACTGTCCTACATTACTAAATTAAAAACAACGGAGTAAAATCAGACCCCGCTTTTACAAGTGACAAATGGTCTCAAAATCCTGGCAAAATCTCTGTTAAGGTCATGTACCTGTACTGTGTAAGTTGTAGTCTGCTTCTTGGAATGATAAAACAAGAATTTTTTTAGAGATACTGTACTATATGTACAGTGCTAAAAAATCGGGAGTTGTATCTTGAGATAAAGAATGTTATGCTGAGGATTTGGTTAAATACTGAATATAGAGGAGTGAACTGTATGTGTTAATAGATGACAGCAATGTAATGTTCTGCAGAATTTAAAAGAAGTTCATAATGAAAATTCATAATTTGAGGACAGAAATGTAAGGTGTATCACAGTACAGTATGGTATAGCAAGAAAATATCAGTAAGGGAAAAAAAATGATGAAGTAAAGAAGAAATTAAAAAGAAAGTGTAAGATCAGTGTAGATGGTGCATTTGAATTTAGGAAGAAAATACGAGCAGAATTAAAATGTGGGTCATCGACCCACAACAGGGCCTAGGGGGCAAAAAAATAAGAGTAAAAAAATTAAAAATAGAAAAGAAAAAATTATATTAATCTACACCACGAAGATGCTGAAAAACCAGCTTTTTAAAGCGAGACATTGTATGAGTATGGAAACATAGAAGACAGAGCATTCCACAGTTTGACTGTGTGAGGAAAGAAGGATGTACTATAATGGGTTATTCCTGTGGGACCGACGTCCACGCAGAAACTGTGTGCACCGCGGGCAAGACGAGTGTTATGAGCCCACAGCCTTGCCAGCGGTACACAGGATGCCAAATCCACTGAACATTGCCCGTTAAAATATCTGTAAAAGGAGAGAGTGAAGCAACATTGCAGCAAAGAGAAAGGGAAGAAAGATTATCAACTAAAGGAGGAGAGTCAATTAGACAAAATGCCTTTGATTCCACCCTATCTAACAGTTGGACAGAAGAGGAGCAGTACTCCAAGTTAGGACGAATGAATCCCTTATAAACCTGAAGCAACTGCTCAGGAGTGAAGTAGCTACGGCATCTGTACAGCATTCCCAGCTTTCGGGAGGCAGCTTTAGCAATATTGTGGATGTGTGGCTTCCATGACATATTAGAGGAAATGGTGAGACCTAGCATATCTATTTTAGAACTTGGCAGAATGATTGCATCCTGAAATGTGATTGGTGGGAGATCATCTAATTTGGAAAGTGTAATTGGTAAATACCGTGTTTTATTACTATGGATTCTAACCAAGTATATACCTCCCCATTTGGAGATGCTGCACAGATCCACATTGATAGATGAAATAATATTGGCTCTAGAAACAGATCTAGTTTAAGAATTAGGTGGAAGGGAAAACTGTGAAGAAGAGTGCAAAGTAGAATCATCAGCATAAGAATGGATAGAATTAGTCGAAGTGAAGTAAATCATTGATAAAAAGAAGGAAGAGAGTAGGTGAAAGAACAGAACCCTGTGGGACACCACTATTGGTAGAGAAAGAGCGAGAGGTCGATCCCACGACAACAACTGCCATGGATTGGTTCTCGAGGAAGCAAGAAATTAGAGAACAAAGTGGGGGAGAGAAACCATAAGAGGGAAGTTTAGAAAGCAAAGACTTGTGCCATACCCTGTCAAATGCTTTGGAGATGTCAAGGGCCATGATGAAAGTTTCCCCATAATCCCTAAGAGAGGATGACCAAAGATGGGTGCAGCAGGAGAGCAGATCACCAGTAGATCTCGCCTGGCGAAAGCCATACTGGTGATCCGACAAAAAAGAAAATGAGAGTTTAAGATACTGTAGTTTAGAAAATCTTAGAGAGGGATGAAGTTAGGGCAATAGGGTGATAGTTAAAGGGATTAGGATGGTGACCCTTTTTCGGGATGGGCTGAACCAAGGCATGCTTCCAAGAAGGAAAAGTTTGAGTTTCGAGGCAAAGGCGAGAGAGCACGGGCTAGAATTTCAGCACACTCCCTCAAAACACGAGGGGGTATTCCGTTCGGTCCATGCGCCTTACTCACATCCAACCTGGATAACACACCAGCAACCCTATGAGTGGAGATTATAGGCAAGTGCATAGGTTCAGTAGGAGGAATAGAGCTGGAATCGTCTAAGGTGGAGTTAGAGGAGAATAAGGTGCCAAAGAGATTGACTTTATCAGGGGGAGATTTGGCTGTAGAGTTATCAGGTAGGAGAGAGGAGGAAAAGAGGGAGTGCATAAATTATTACAGATGTTTTTGGTTAAGGACCAGAAGGATTTACTAGAAGAGGAGTTAGTCAGGACAGCGATCATTCTTTTCATAAAATTCTGCTTGGCCCTACGAAGAATAGCCTTACAATGATTCCTAGAAGTAATAGGAGGAGATAGATTCAAAACTTGATACGCCCTATCTCTCTCCCTACATGCAAGAGAAAAGGAGTGATCAAACCATGATTGTAAAGTGAAAGTTTTGGTAGAAGATGGGATAAGTGCACTTATACCACCCTGTATATCCCATGAAGCATTAACAGGTCACTTGGACAAATTGAGGGATAATAAGGTAAAAGAAAGTTGTTTGTAAAACACACTGGATACAAAGTGAGCAAAAACAATTATGGGACAGTATATGTGGGTAGACATGACCAAAACAATATGCCTCTCCCACTTTAATGGATGCCATGTGGCAGCAGGGTCTACCATAGACAACACATTATGCTTCCAATATCTTCCTAGGCGGTAGTACCTCCCTGTTTGGTAGCAGCCTAATACCTACTACCTACAAAGTGTTGCCAATCCTCTCTCTCCCTGAGGTGTGAAATCCAAACTCTGAAGTGTGAATTTGAAGCATTCACCCAGTGAGCGGGAGGGAAAGGGGATGGGTATGTCAGGGTAGGTATTTTTCTGTGTGTGTGTGAGTGTGAGGGGAGGGGGGGGGGTGTACAGCATATCAGTTGGACGGGCAAGGGGTGACCTAATTGAGGTTGTATAAGCATCTCAAGGGGCACTACTCAGTCGAGTGTCCTTACTTGGAGCTGGCGGACGCTCGCCCCACAAGGGGTCACAGCTCAAGATTGAAGAAGCTGCAAGTCCAGAAAACTGTGAGGGCAAACTTTTTCAGAGTGACAGTTGTGAACTCTTGGAACAATCTGCCAGAAAGTGTAGTGACGGCACCGAGTGTGAGCTCTTTCAAGACCAGACTTGACCAAAACTGGAGCAGGTTCAGAGGATCAGGTACATTCAGGAGCCGGTGCATGCCAACAATGCGTAAAAGAGACGTGACCGATCGCCCAAGCGGCTAGCGAGCCGATCAGTGGTGAAGAGGAAAAAAGTAAAGCAAAAAGTTAAAAAGTTGGGAGATACTGTATTACAATGCAAAATAATGCTTTGACGGTACCGACAAGGTTTCCTCAGCTGAGAGTAATTGTCTAGTGCTAGCCAGATAAAAATACTAAAGCTACAATAGGATGAGAAAGGGATGAATTCATGTTCTAAGTAAGGTGTTCCTTTGCAAAGGAGGCGTTTATGGGCAAATGTATTGTGGATATGTTTGAATCTATATCTTGTAAAAGCATCAAAGTTTTATTTGATTCCTTGACTATGAGCTGGAACTTCCCCAGCTGAATAAAATAGTCTGGCGGTAGCCAGAACGAAATAGATAAAACGACATTGTAGTGAAAGGATTAAATAGCAATCAAATCAATCAGGAAGTGGGCACCACATATTCATTGTAAGAGAAAGTTGATGTGAACGAAATTAGTTGAGATGGCAGTAGTCGTGTATAGAGTTAGCAAACTACTGTACATACTACAGTTCAGTTGTACTGTACTGCGCACATCATGGTCATCCTTATTAACTCTTTAATTCATATTACGCTACATAACATTCAA